GTCACTAGTCTGATCGAACAGCTATCCGTATCAAAACTTGTTGTGATTACTAAGTAATTTTCAGCTTTTAAAAGAAACATGCGGTGTTCAAAATAAAATAAAAATATTTATTTTGTCTTGTAAAAATTATTCGATAGGTATGTTGTAAAGAAGTATTTTTTAGAAAGCCGTTTTATTATTCTAACATTAATGTTTCTTTCAACCTAACTTATACATCCTGCCGAGAGACCCGGCCTGTACAGTAGCTAGCTAGCTGTGCTGGCAACAACAACCCCATGCAGCGAACTGCTTTGCAACCCATATTTTTATCGGCAGTTCAGATTGATTCAGGATGAGCTACAATCACTATGAATATGACGGACAATGAAAGCGGACAAAATATACAGTTCCTCAGATAGATAAAGGAACGTCCCTTCACTGCTATTATGTAAAAAGTGAATATGCATGTGACACCTGTTCTACACATTTTTACATAATAGCGGTGAAGGGATGTTCTTTTGTCTACCCGAGGAACTGTACATTTTGTCCGCTTTCTTTGTCAGTTATGTTAATAGTGAATATGATTGGTAAAAATTAAATACTTAAGTTTTAAGGTGGATTAATTTTAGTGGTGTCCAAAACTGCAATTTCTTACATATTTTCTTTCTTTTTCGGAGCGTCGGTTTCCCAAAAACGAAACCGGGACCCGACGGCGACGGTCGGGATTCGTGGTGACCGACCGTACCGACTCATGCCTAGTTCATTTGATAAGCTACTTTTGAAAGGGCAAATTAATTTTCAGTCCATTGTGCAGTGCTTAGTGTAGATCTACAACACAATTGTTTACGTGTGGGACGGAAATGTAGTAAGTGATCGAACATTGCCGATATACGCATGCATATTTTTTTCACCCGAAAAAAATACAGATTTTTGCGTCAAAATACTGATTTGGGGGATAAGATTACTGAAAATGCAAAATACAACTTGGCAGCTCTGATGATGATAATGATGATAATGATGACGATGATGATGATGATAATAATGATGATGATGTTAATGATGATGATAATGATGATGATAATGATAATGAGGATAATAATAATGATGATTATAAATTTATAATGATGATGATGATGATTATGATAATCATGATGATAATGATAATAATAATGATGATAATGATGATGATAGTGATAATAATGATGATAGTGATAATAATGATGATGGTGATGATGATAATCATGATAGTGATTATAATGATGATAATGATGATGATAATGATGATAATAATGATGATGATGCAGAGCTGCCAAGTAGTACTGATTGCCGTATTCCGTACGGAAATCAACTTAAAATACAGACGTACGTTTTTTCATGTTTAAATAAGGAAGAAGAAAAAATAAGTTGTGTATAAGTCTATGGGTGGTGCGCGTGTCGTGTCATTTGTGTATTAGTCTATGAGCATGGCTGTTAAATTCCAGTTAAATCATGGAAAATGTGAATTTTTATAAATTATTTATTTAAAAATCAATATACAATATTAAAAAAATAGTATAAATTCTTCAAAGTTCATAAAAGATTTTGTGAAATGTCATGCATGCAATATGATACAAATCATATAACCTGGGCAAAGGCATGGGGAAATCAAGTTTTGGGGAATAAATATGGAAATTAATGGGATTAAACCATATAGAGCAATTGATGGGATTAAACCATATAGAGCAATTGATAAATAGTGAGGACATGACGTCACAAACTGATACGTAATCATTTTGGCAATTTGTGTTGTGATTTTCATTGTTCCATAGTTTTACATACTTTTTCAAAAATTCATAACTTTCTTTAGTATTAGTTATCTGATTTTGCTCAAACTTTTTTTGATTGGTCTAATTGTCTGATTTTTCTGATTTTATTGAAAGTAAGTTATTTTCCGAGTGGACTTGTCCTTTAAAAGCTTGCTTAAACTTAACCGTGGCACTGCCAACTGTTCGGTTTATGGCGAAGTTGGTAGATTTGCTTTAGCAAGTAAAGTGGAGAAACGTATGATCAATTTTTTGGCGAGGGTTAGTCAGGGTAATGTACATGAAAGTTGTGATTTCGAATCAAGGTGGATTGTGAAAGTTAATTAAAAGTATCCTAGACAAGAGTGGAATGTCAGACTTGTGGGTTGAGAATACCCCCCTTGAATCTAGGTTGAGTTAAATCATCTTTGACCTTAGATTTTCGAACAGGAAGGTGGTTTGGATACTGGATAGCTATTTGTTGAAATTGGACATAGGTGATAGAATATCTTTGTATTTTTTGTAAGTTTCATTGTGATAATAATAAGCTGCCAGTTACTAAATGTCATTATTTATCTGATCAACCTACTAAGTTATGTTCCCTATGTAATATTAAGGTACAGGGTGATGAATTTCATTATGTTCTGGTGTGTCGAGCTTTCAATGACTTTCGTAAGCAGTACGTTAAGAAATATTATCACCCGTATCAGACATCTGAGCCGGTCATTTACAAAACCGTATTGCCCTAGTTTTCACTAGCAGTGGGAACGGAGGGGTATATTCTTTGTATTTTCCTTGGTCTCCCTGCGCGCATTGACTTTGCGTGTAGAGACGAGTGAAAATATACCTTGGTATTTTCCACGGTCTCGCATTTTCATTGCGCATCTATTAATATTATGCGTACGAGAACCTGCGCACTTTGCGCGCACTCTATTGTGACGTAATAATCACACCACATACTAAGGCTGCGACGGGTAGTCGAATGCTCGAGTACCCGCACGGTTGACAACTACTCGGGTACGATTTCTTGTACCCGAATATTCGGCCGCAAAAAAATTTAAAAAAAATTAAAAAAAAAAAAAAAGGTCCAGGCCCACGCTTACCCGTGCCAGGGAGAGCAGCATCCGCTGGCATGGTACCGTCGGTAAAAATGTTTCCAAACTCAAGCACTGTCAAACTCACCTTTCAGAAACTGGGACCAAATGTCCAGATTTCTGTTTGGACTTGGAGGAAAATGGATTATTCTGCCATCTTTGGTTTTTAAAACAGCATTGTTTACTGTTATTATTCTTATTAAATCGGTGCCTTCAACTGCAACTCAAAGTAAAGTTGCATGCGTTTTCAGCGAGCTGCGCGAGGGACCTGAGAAACTGCCGAGTGGTATGGTAGTGGCAAAAAAAGAAAAAAATGGAAAAAATCCAAAAATCCAAAAATTCAAAAAAATTCAAAAAAATTCAAAAAAATTATAAAAAAACATGGCGTCCGAATACTCGAGTATTCGCCTGTGAGCCTGGGAGTGTACTCGGGTACCTCATTACACTGTTGTGCACAGCCCTACCACATACACACTGTTTGTAGTGTATCGAAAATTTTGTCAAGCACTGGACTCAAGGCACAGTGTTGGTTTGACAAAGTTTGTTCAGTTCTTGAGATTGTCATGGTGGATGTCTGTATTTGCTCTAGATGTCTGATTTGGATAACAATAAAAATATTGACTGGCTTTACTTTCGGGGGATATCAGAAATATTGACCGCGCTAAGACCATATTGCCCTCGTCTTTCGACTCGGGGCAATATGATCTGAGCTTGGTCAATATTTCTGATATACCCCTCAAGGCCAGTCAATATTATATAATTATTATAGTAGACCTAACGTTATCAAATTTCATCAGTTATTCAATGCAAATTCTGTTAAGCAGTTAAGGAACCTTTTCAAATTTTGTGAGGCAACGCACCCGCCCCACACCCTTATATGATATTTTTGCTGAGGGCTCCTACCCTAATATCGTTCAGTACAGTAGGTCCTAAGTAAGCCCTGTACCAAAAATGGCATTTGTATATAAAAACAACAAATCAATGTTATACAATTATTTAGTAGCTCCAAAGAGACGCACACGCCCCCACACCCTTAAATTGAATTTTTTGCCAGGGGCTCCTAGCCTAAAATCGTTTAGTTGGCCCTAAGGAAGCCCTGTACCAAAAATAGCGCTTTTATCCAGCAAGTAATGGTAATTGTGAGCAGTGAAAACTTAAAAATGCAAGCATGCAAAAATCTTGAAAAATGTCAATTTTTTTTATTTTTTTTTAAAGGTAAAGACCAGTTATGGTCATGCGATTGCATTGTGAAAGAAACGTTGTGGAATCGATCAAAACAGGTTGATCATCTAGCATCTAGCATCTGCAAGGTTCTGGAATCATCAAAATGATAAGAAATTTGGCCCATTTTTCGTAAAGTTACAAGCACTATACACAGAAAGATGTATATGGGACTACCCTATATCTCTCACAGACCATGAGAGAAACAAATTTACGAAATATATGAATTAGTAGGCGGTTTCCCGGCAAATTTTTTATCATCATGTATTAGTCAAAACATATTCTTTCACATGATTGGTAATGAGAGCTTCCATTTCATTTTTTTAAATTGGGGCGTTTCCAATACTGGTCTTTACCTTTAAATTTTTCCATTTGAATAGAGGATTTCTCTTCAAAATGCCTGGTTATCCTCATTTTGTATTTCATATTCTGATAGATCATGAAGTGTAGATCTATATGATTTCAAAACAGTTGGTATAAATTCTTGCTAAACCTTGTAGGAATCATTTTTATGTGAAGAAGATCTAAATTTGTTTGCATGGGATACATGCCCCTGCAGGGGACTTTGAACCCACACCTAAATGGCCCATCTGTTCCAAATCCTATGTTCCTAGTGCAAAGTGGATAGGAGTTAGGTCCCTTATTGCGAGGCCCCTACTTTCATCATCTCTAGTGAGCGTGAGATCTGCGTACCTTTTGTTCTCTTATTTTATGTTTATTATTATCTTCCTTCAACAATGAAATGGGGAGGGGGTACAAAATTCCAAACACCTGTTGCTCATTACGCCAGAAAGGTCAAGTTGGTTGGTTCACATCCCTGACAAAGGCTAGAGCTGAACAGATGGTAAAGATTTTTGGTTTGAGACCAAAAGGTTTAATTTTCAAACATGTTATTATTGGTATTTTTTTTTTCTTTTGCTTTTAGGAGTTATAAGGAGCTAGAGAACTTTTCAACCGGGGAATCACAATCAAGTTGTTAAAGATGCCTGGAAGGCGTGGAGTCTTTGATACTATCATGTCCAAGGAAGACTACATGCAGCCTGAGCAGAAGGCTGTACCAGTCAAGCTGGCTGCTTCATCTATCAAGGACCCAGATGAACTCATTGAGTGTCCCTATGACAAGGTCCATCGTATACGTCTCAGCCGCTTCCCTATGCATCTCCTCAAGTGTAGAAAGGTATACATCTCTCTTATTTCATTTTTTAGAGGAGGTCCACTTGGCTCAGATTCTCCATCTCTTGTAGTCTCTTGTGGACCAGGGCATTGTTTTTCAAAACCATCATAAGTACAAGTTCACTGACATCCCATTGATACATGTGTTAACCACAATACATGAGTTTCAATGGGATTTGTGCAAACTTGTACTTATGACAGTTCTCCAACAATGCATCGGTGATGATGTTAAACTCTGGTTCAGTGTGTTGCCAACTGCAGAGTGGAGAGCTTGTTTCCAAGTCAAATGGGTCTCCTTGGGTGCGTTTATCATGTTTTGTAACTCAGAATCAGCGTTTCTATGTACATATCGAACCCCACTACTGTATTTGCCGGCGTAAAGGCCGCAGTATTTTTGGAAGAGAAAATATCAAAAAGTCGGGGTGCAGCCTTTACGGTGAAAGAGTAAAAAAAAAAAAAAAAAATCAAGTCAAAACTAGCACAAATTTGCACATATGGGACTATGAACGGTACAATAACTATACCACTATGGTACAGGACATTTCAACACATCTTACCAACAATTTTATCTTGCATTGTTGACATGAATACGAAAATAAATTGCTAAACCAACATTTGCCGATAGATCTTTATCTAAGTTCGTGCCAATGCATTGCAAAAGTAAAGGAAGGGACCATTTAACAGAGCTGCCGCGAAGCATCCATCCGAAGTCGCCATTTTGTTTTCCATTTCATGCAGTTTCGCATTACACTGTACATCGTGGTAGGGGTATATATCGGACACCAAATCTGCCCGCGATCACTTTTTGAGCTAAACTTCCGGTAAATTATAAGAATATTGATGAATTTGGTATCAGTTTGTAAAAAAAAAATAGTGTTTTACTAGAAAATCGCAAAATGCGTAAACAACGAACAATGGACGAGTACGCAGGCATGCATGCAAAATGTGACACAGCACATGGCGCACGCTATTTCTCCGAACCAGAAATTAGCCAGGGAAGGTCCGATATGTGTGTCTTTCAAAACAGCTTTGCGTTTTTCATCTCTCAGAAACGTGATTCTGGCTCTACATGTATGTCTTCTCCTTCTTCAGTAGCAGCACAGGCCACTGTCAGGTGTATTGTCGTACTGTTGAGGTGCAGTGCAGATGTGTGTACAATGTCTGATAAGAGCTAGGTACAGTTAACTGAGTGCGAGTAAAAAAAGCTACCATTTTAGCCGAGCTGGGTCTTTTGTACCTCTAGCTTGTCACATTCAGAACGCAATTTTTCAATTTTTTAAATATCTAAAGACTTGTGAAAACAGGCTTCCATTTATCATGCATTTGCCTGAAACGCGTTTGAAAATGCTGATTCTAGGCAAAAAAAAGGTATCATAAACGCACCCTTTGTAATGTTGTGTTTGGGATCTGTGTTTTTGTAGTTATTGAATATTGAGAGGTACATAAATAAAGAGGTGGTGAGACTTGTATTTTCAAGGTAAAGACCAGTTATGGTCATGCGATTGCATTGTGAAAGAAACGTTGTGGAATCGATCATAAAAGGTTGATCATCTAGCATCTAGCATCTGCAAGGTTCTGGAATCATCAAAATGATAAGAAATTTGGCTCATTCTTCGTAAAGTTACAAGCACTATACACAGAAAGATGTATATGGGACTACCCTATATCTCTCACAGACCATGAGAGAAACAAATTTACCAAATATATGAATTAGTAGGCGGTTTCCCGGCAATTTTTTTATCATCATGTATTAGTCAAAAACATATTCTTTCACATGATTGGTAATGAGAGCTTCCATTTCATGTTTTTAAATTGGGGCGTTTCCAAAACTGGTCTTTACCTTTAAGCGTAATATACAAGAGTCACATAGTCCAGATTCAGTATATTCACAAGATGTAAAGCAGCCAAGATATAGGTGTTTGCTTGGAGATGGTATGAACTCCTCTCTCCTTTCATGAGGGGTGCACACTCATCTAGCTAACATGTGTAATCTGTTCTGGGAAAGGGTCTTATTTCTTGCTAATCAAACAAGGGGGCTTTATTATTGGTAGGGAGGGAGACAGGAAGTCTTTTGTTTTGGAGGTTTGGGTGGTTCTCATACAGTTTGGGGTTTATTTGGCTGGGATTAAGTTATCAAACAAGTGTTCTGAAAGGGGCAGTCTGGTATATCACAGGGTGGGTCTTATCTGAATTGGGGCATACTGAGTGATATCATATACTATTAATGGGGGGGGGGGGGAGCTGTAGACTAGTACTACCATTACATAACAGTAAATTGAAGACTACGGGTAGAAGCTGAGGAACCTCACATTCCTAGCCCTTGTCCAATACACTTTGGAGAGAACTGATTAATACAAGCAAAAAAAGCATACATGTACAGTACATTATAGGTAATACAAAGTTTTGGGAAATATTGAAAATTGGCTGTATAGTGATTCTTCACAATTTTGATATATTTGGATGCCCCTGTGGATGTATTATAAGCACTAGAAAATTTAGCCCCTAAAACACTTCTGCTTTCAAGAAAAAATGGAATATAACAGATTTACCAGTGCTCCTAGTAAATTTTGATAAATATCGAATAGCGCCTACGGCCATACATTAGTAGCTGCGACCATGAAAATTTCAGAATATGTAGTTGTGATACATAAATTTCAGAAGGGAATAGCCAATCAATCTTTTTTAGTCAAGAAACATTGTTTTATAGCTTAATTAATATCTTGGCCTTAAGAGGGAGCAATTCAACAGCATACCTGCCAACTACTACGATTTTTTGATTTAAATTACGCCTTACGATTTTTTTGTCATAAAATTACGATTTTTTTTTTTTTGATTTTTTTTTTTGCCCATTCACCTGGCACTGTGCAGTCCGACGCTTAAGCGTGCCCGGGAGAGCACCAGCATGGTACCAAGAGTAAAAAAAAGTTTCACAGCTCGATCACTGTCAACTCACCACTCAGAAAGTGGGACCAAATGTCCAGATTTCTGTTTGGACTCTGAGGAAAATTAGTCTGTCATCTTTGGTTTTAAAAACAGCATTGTTTACTATTATTATTATTAAATCAGTGCCTTCAACTGCAACTCCAAGTAAATCGCTTGAGTTTTCGGTGACGGACCTGGGATACTTCTACAGTAGTATGGTGGTGTCAACAACAACAAAATTGGGTATTTGAGTACCTCATTACACGCCTATGCACAGCCCTTTATTTTCTCCTCCAGGTTCTCATCCAGGTTCTCATCAGGGGAATTTTGAGCTTTTAGTCCTCGTTGTTTAAAATATTTTTTATGTGGGAGGGGGTTGCATAAGTGTTGAAATATGAGTTTAAAGTGAAGGGAAAAGGCATTCCTACATGTTGAAAATACCAAAAGCTCCCTACCGTGGGAGGGGGACAGCCCTCTCCCACACCCAACCCCGCTTGGTCGCTTCGCTCCTACGTTCTGTCGCTCCACTCTGTCACAGTCCTCCTAAAAAAATGATTACTATTTTTAGTCTTCAAAGGTTGGCAGGTATGCAACAGAAAGAGTTTACTATACAATGTCATAACTTTAGACTCAATTTCAGCCGCGACAACGATCACTGAATACTGTAGGATCGCATATGCTTCCAATATGTTAATTTGAACCAAATTAATGACCCCATACCAAAATTTTGTATTACCTTTAAGCTAACAGTAAGCTTTAATCATACTTGTAATCATTAATAAAATGGAGAGCAGCGAAAGTTCTGATTATAAGTATCTTAGGTCAAGGCCACTGAAATCACTTGTCAAATTCTTCAATATATTTTGTAAAGTTGGTATTCCTTTCTATGTGTATTAAGGCTGTGCACAACAGTGTAATGAGGTACCCGAGTACACTCCCAGGCTTACAAGCGAATACTCGAATATTCGGACACCATGTTTTTTTTGAATTTTTTTGATTTTTTTTTTTTTGCCACCACCATACTTCTTCAGCAATTAAAACTTGCTATAACTCGAAAAAATGTCTCCCCCCAATGATTATAGTAGTTAAAAGTCATGCACTATATAAATAATCTCATGAACTAACTCACATAAACTAATAAAGCCCACAAGTGTTTTGCTTATGCATTTGTTTTTCTCCTAATAAATAAATAAACCCTCTAAACATACAGGTACACGACGCCCCCTTGTCTATGTCAGAGTGACCTAAGTTGAGTTTATCAACCGAGAAGTGTACGCGTAACGTAACTCACTGGGCTGGTAAGAAGGCATCATAGAAAGGACAGGGCCAGCTTGAGTTGGAACTGTGTGCGGATCGTGGTTTAATTTGAAATAATTTTTTGTTTTCGTTTTTTGTAGACTACGACTAATATTATATTAAAATGGGATTGGAAAAAGAAAGAAAAAATAATAATTTTACCAAGACATTAAAAGAAAGAGATGCGATGAAATTGGCAACAATAGTCAAATTTGACTAACAGCCATTATAATACCAAACGAACAACAACAACAACAGCAGTATCCCAGTTCTGTCGCCGAAAACGCATGCAATTTTACTTCGAGTTGCAGTTGAAGGCGCCGATTTAATAATAATATCAGTAAACAATGCTGTTTTAAAAACCAAAGATGGCAGAATAATCCATTTTCCTCCAAGTCCAAACAGAAATCCAGACATTTGGTCCCAGTTTCTGAGTGGTGAGTTTGACAGTGCTTGAGTTGGGAAACATTTATACCAACGGCACCATGCCAGCGGCCGCCGCTCACCCAGGCACGGGTAAGCGTCGGCCTGGACAGATTTTTAATTTTTAATTTTTTTTGCGGCCGAATATTCGAGTACGAGAAATCGTACTCGAGCATTCGACTACACGTCGCAGCCCTAATGTGTATATTTTTGTTCTTAACTACTAATGTATACTAATGTGTCATTATTAGAGTATTAAAAATACCCTGCGTGTAGTGGTCCAAAGGTATAAAAGAAAGGCAGTCGCATTCATCTCATTTCATTCTTCTCTTTTTGTCAGAACTATGTTGGGAGGGAAATGTACACCTGTCCCTTCAACGCATGCCATCTGGTCCCAGCCCCTGAAGCAAGGCATCACATCGCAAACTGTCCTGACAAAGGATGTGTAGAGAAAGACATGGTCCGTGGTAAGCTATCCATGTCTTACGTAACAGATGATTGGTATTACAAAATCAAAAAATAGTGGTGGATAGTGACATAATTAAACTTTTTGTTTTTCACTTGAACTAATCAGAGTTAATCACAAGGATGAACAACTTCTGTTTATATTGTCTGAATTTGGCTTTCTGTTTATTCTTTTAATTTACTCTGAAGAGTGAAAGACAAAAAGCATAAGTGTTTCTCCATTTACCCCTATTCTTCAAATGTTAGAAGTGATATCTAATTGTAGGGTTCTATGGAAGGAAAGCACCAGTCATTATTTGTTATATTTATTTCACATATTAAAGATACTATGTTCCATTTGCAGGCCAAAAAAATGAAAAGGTTAAATTCCAACGGCATTTGAACATAAATACTAATTTTGAACTTTCCTAACAAAAGGGGGGCTTGAAAATGTCTTTAAGTAGAAAAATAATGACTATTAATTGTCGAATCGACTTAAGAGCTACAGAGCCAGTAAGTAATAGTCTGATTTTCAGACCATTGTACTGAATGGTCGTAGGTTTTATGCTGCGCAAAGATTCAATCAGTTTAATTTTGGCCATTACAAGAAGTGAGTTATTGATGTAGACAAATGCTCATGTACCCTTTACAGCTCATTTTATGTATGTTGTTACCAAAGAAAAAGAAAAGCCAGTCGGTCACTCAGTAGTGTCTGATAGTAAAGTCTAGCAAGTTCACGGGTTTCCTTGCATAATTTGAATAATAGGACACTGCTAAGGTTTAAATTTCACAGATAGGACCCACATGACATATTCATAATTGATGCAAAGTTCTACAGAATTTGATGTTGGCTGCAAAAGGAACAATAGTATCTTTAAAGACAGTGATGTGTTCCATGAAGCCCTGTGCCTGCACAATAAACATACCCTGGTACAAGCAAATTAAATACAAACAAGATATATTTCACGAATGAGAAAAAAAAGAGATGTTATAGCAAAATAAAACAAAGCTACAGAATTAATATATATACAGTGTCAGTAAAACAAAATCAATTAAATTTTGGGATATACATGTAGTGGACTAGTGAACTGATGAGAGAACGGACATGATAATACACATGGAATGGTATTATGACAACATTGTTTATAGAATGTGTTAAGTTAGTAAAATTATGTTAATTGTCATAAATAATCAAAATTAGGACAAATCATTGGTTAATATTCTGTGCAAAGCTGGCTGCGTTCATGTAAAGTAAAGAGACATAATATACGCATTACGCAAGCACCAATAGTAAGTGTTAGTTCTGAACAGTTTCAGTTTGTTATGACAACTAACATTGTTTCCCCCTGAACATGAAATATAATATTGTTTCCAGAATAAGGCTCCATGAAGGGTAGGAAAGGATGAGAAGAAGGAAATCATAATGAGTAGTCTTTATCTTTACATAATTCATATATATGATTATGAACAATGTAAATCTGGTGCTGTGCAAATCAACAAACATCGCTGAAGTCAAGGAATTCCCTCTTGCCAGGTACCTATTCAAAACCTGGGTTGAGAATGGCAAATGTAGATGAATGTCTGACCGAAGGGCATGAACTCACGACCAGTCTGAGTCAGATCAACACCTCTACCTTGTCACACTTTGGTCACACTTTGGTCACACTTTGAGACAAACTGTAAATGTGTATTTTGTATGTTTGGTTTGCAGGGTATGATATGAATAATACTTACTGCAGAGGCTACACCAAAGTTCCATCATACCGACGATCTGAAGACTACCATCATGAGTCCTCTGAAAATTGGGATGAAGGTTGGTAGAAATGGGCTACATACTAAGTGTATTTCTCTTTTCTCTCCTCTCCCAACTCCTCCCTACTCTTTCTCTCTCTCTCTCCCTTTCTCCCTTGCCATCTCTCTCTCTCTCTCTTTCTCTCTCTCTCTCTTTTTCTCTCTCTTCTCTCTCTTTTCATTGTGTATGATATCTGTCTTTGTCAGCTCTTTTTTCATTCTCACCTGCTGTTCCTATAATCTTCTTTTTCTAGATTTATTAACAGGACCAGATATGTGATGTCTGGGGCCCCATCTTACAAATTAGTTGTAATTGATGGCAAATTATTTACAATCAATATCAATCGCATCTCCATACTATAAAGAGATAGGAGATGTCATTGATATCAATTGCAAACTATTTGTTACCAATCGCAACTCTTTTATAAAAACAGGCTCTGGTTTACTTTATGGCCAAGAGAAGGGAATGACCTTTGATTCGTTGTGTGCTCTTTTTTTTCTCAGAGATTCAGACCAACAGATCAAGAGAGTACTGGGGCCCAGAAGGAGAAGGAGCTAATGGGTAAGGTATTTGATACATGCTGCATAGTAGAAGTGAGACATAGGCATCAGTTCCCATTTTTCCCAGTTGTGTTTGGCTGATTTCAATTCAACTTGGCATGATTTATCAATCAAGTGATAATTTATCTTGTATCAAATTGTATACCTTGTCAATAATTTTAGGCCAAAGGTCATCTAGGGGCATGTTGTTGTTGTTGTTGTTAAATTTAGGCAAGTCAGTCAGTTTATGACCATTATTGCTGAATACTATACAAAATTTGTTTTGAATTCAAATTTACGTATATACACTCACACAATATGCGTGCATATATATTTCTTCAAATTCTTCTTAAAATACCAATAACAAAAAAGGGGAAAATAATAATATTATGTTAGATTACCAATCCCTGTCCTTGTTGGGGGGTTTCTTTTTTGCGCTATCCTGTCAAACCTGCTCGTGGTAGAGGTCTTTTGAGGTTGTTGTTCAAAAAGGGAGGAGGCTGTGCTCTGCGTCCATATATTGATATGGTATTTCGCTGTTAGTTGGCTGGTTGGTACTAATGTCCAGTGGTCAGTTTCTTGACTGTCATCTGCACTTTCTTGACATGCCTCAAACTTGACTGTTTGAGGCATGTTCAGTCCTGTTTTGCAGTTTGCTCCTAATCTTGGCATGAATTATCAATAAGCACTGAGCTGTGTTCATCCTAAAACTATTATCTTGGGGTGCATGTGAGACAAAGCAGGGTAGTTTGGCATTTCTATTTAAAAGGGCAGTCAAAAAGGATCATGAAAGTAATGACTCTAATATTTCTTGAGGGGATTCTTGTAAGGAGAGAAAGAAATCACAGTGGGTGTAAAATCCTTGGAAGAAGAAGAATACAATTCACATTTGGCATCATAAGATATGGATGGTACTTCAGTTGTGCTTGGGTTATGCTTATATAAAAATTATTGATTTTTGCTGCAAATAAAGATTCAACTTTGTTGACTTCTTTTAGTCATCCGTTTTCCAAAGTCATACTTTGTCTATGTTAAGTCTACTTTACTATTCACACTTTTCGTTTTCTCTTCTGAAGATAAACGATTATAAATTTTCATTCTGTGAATTTATTGTTCTAGTGGGTCACAAAATCTACCACAAGCAAAAGGAAGGGGTGCTCCAAGAGCTGTCGGCCACACCCGTACCCAGCAGCAGATGGAGATGAGGTTACCACGGCAACCAGCCCAGGCAGTCGCAGCAGCTCAACAGCGCCACCAGCAATTTCAACAGCAGCAACATGACACCATCCCGACCCCTGACCCCCAGGTCAACGGTGCTGCAGCAGGTAGGTCGAGTCGTCATCACTCGTTGAGTTTATGTGTAAGCAATGAATAACGTGTAATAGAGTACAGGCATGGGGAGATTCAAGGCAAATGAAGTGTAAGTGGGGATGTATAGACACTGCACCAGACTGTGCTTGTGGGCAGAGCCATCAGACCATGGACTACCTACAGAGCTGTGACATGTTGAATGACACATACACTGAGAGGGACCTGGCCGAGTCCAAAGACATGGCGTGTACATTTACCAGACATTGGTACATCAGTGTGATGACCTGAAATGATGATTAACGGGCAACATTTTTCACCAATATTTAAACTTGAATCAAGAAGTGATAGGGCTAGAAATAAAACCATGAGCCCTTTGGTCTGTTACGTTGTAATGGTAAAGGAATACTTTGGTGGTGGGTCCTATTTGAGTTCCAAAATTGTAGCTTAAATCATGATTTTATTTTCTTCTTTCTAATCATATCATGCTAGCAGGAGTAAGATTCTTTCAACTTGCTAGATAGGCTTGTCTCAACAGTTACAAAATATTTGGATAGTACATTTAGGTCTGTAGGGCTACTTGGATGGGCTACATTTATTGCAGCTCAGAAAAATAAAAAACAATCCTGTACAATATTGCAAATAGCAGTGTCCTTTATATGCTTCACTGATTTTCTTACGTGTGTTTTAGTACCAGTCCCATCTTCTTCTATTTCATTCAGCACCTGTTCAACCGTCGGCCGTGGCTGGTTTAGGCAGAGGTCAGGTCAAGGGTCGTGTAATGGCAGCCAATCTATGGGGTGCCTCCCAGCAGAATCAAGCCTCACCCAAGCCTGGTGGCCTGGCACAAAGCTCTTGGGGACAACAGGTAAATTTATCTAGAATCCAGAATTAGAAGTTCATTTTAGAATTCTGACATTTTTATATGCAAATCATGTATGAGCTCATGCTGAGACAGGAATGACCTCTACTGATGGGTCAAGTGTACGCGCATGAGCATACCATGACAACCACGTTGCCAATGCATTTCCAGTGGACATTGGTGAATGCCCAGTCTAAAGTTTGTCTGGTGAGAGGAACCAGATGTGGTACAAGGCCAAATCATTAAGATCATTTCTGTCAACAACCTGCAATTGCATTATGTTTTGTTTGTTTCATTGGTGAATAAGACTCAAAATCTTTTGAAGCAGTGACTACCAACAACAAAAACTGAACAGAATAATGTTCCCCTTTGCAATTATTTGGCTGGATATTCCCCCCCCCCCCCCCTATGATGGGGAAGGGTTTTAGGTTGAGAAGACCAAAGACTTGATACATGGCTGATCGTCAACCAAACAAAGTTAAGTCTTTTGTCAACTCTGTGTGTTGCTACGGCAGGCAGCCAGTGTAAAAGAACTCGTTTAATCAAATTATGGAAATGCAAGCATTTCTTTAAACAAACAGAACTTTGTTATTCCTGGCTCATTTTTCCTGATTAAAGTATCATATGTATGTGCAGCAATCAAAATTTCTAGAAATGTGATTTTCTTCTTGAAATTCAGATACCGCCCGCGTAATGATTTTTTGGTTTCCTCTCTTCAAATTGTTTTTAAGCACTCATGCATGAAATATGCATCATATGAGTTGCATTAAATGAAAGAGGAGGATCTAAGCTTGACAAATATGTGTCATCTATTAATTATAATTGTGATTAAGTTATGACAAAAGATAGATATTTCTCAGTTTCATTTTTTATGGGACGCACTGTAGTGTAACCTTTTTTTTGTTTAGTAATTCTTTCTTTACCCTGTATAATTATGTTCCCTTAATTCTTATAACCCACAGCAGACTTCATCTACAGAGAACGGTAGCTCTGGTCCTCCGTCCCTTGACGATGATGACTTCCCTGCTCTCGGTGCACAGCCTGCTCACATTGGACTAGGACGTGGTCTCGGAAGGGGCAACATGCTCGTCAGATAGATCGGTAAGATGAGTAACCATAGCAACCATGGAAGATAAGATGGCAGTAATGCATCATGATGCTCTGAAAACTTGCAACTAGTAAGTGGGTTATCTGGAATGCCTGTCTTGTCAGTATCACATTGTAATGATAACTACATGTATGTCTTCTACAAACAGACACCATTTAAGGGGTTAAAGCACAGATGAGGTAATTGATTCTTCTTCCATAATCAAGAGTCAAGATAAATGAACAGTAATACAATTTTTGTGCATAAAAACATGTGTAGTACGGAGGAGCCACTAAAGGTTTCAATGCAGAGTGAAGACGTTTTCTCTTTGAAAATCAAGCACCAAATTATGCAAACAATCTGCTTTAATTCTTTTTGATGATTGCTTGCGAGAAAATTTGCAATGGCTGTTACATATTTTTACGACACATTTTTATGCATAGTGAAGTATTCTTTATTTGTTCCGTTTCTGTTTTGAGAAAAACTTTTGTTCATGTTGTCGTTTTCTGTGCATGTGTTGTTTTTGATAGAGTGAAACATCCTACATATTCTTTATAGAAAATGAAATGGAGGAAAGAATGTTATGTTTATGTTGTTTTTAAAGTCAAATAGAATATACATTCTTTGCTTAAACCAGGAGTATGAACAAGTACAGTACATGATGATTTACAGGATCCCTATTGTTATTTAATGATAAGGTAAAGAAGATATTTTGTTTCATTTATTTCTCATTATTAGATTTATTCAGATATTATCTTAAGTTTATCAGAAATATAAAAAGATAGTAAGCAAACGGCATTCATTTCCATGCATTAACTGATTGGTGCTTGTATTATTGCACTTGGAGGAACTCATTCTTTGAATAAATTTGTCTTTTATGCATGAGGCGGTGAATTACATTATATGCATTGATGGTTCTATGAAGACGATTCTTCTGACAAAGATTTTTAATTTCAGGTAGCATTTTGCAAGTTAGTTGGTCATGTTTTTCAGTCATTTAGTTGGCAACATTTTGAATCATTGGAAATAAGTTTCTGATAGGCCTAAAATGTTTCATGTACAAGAAGTTTTAAAAAGTCATTAACTGTAAATGTTTGTTTCCAAAATGTCTTATTAAGAGGTGAATACCTTTTTATGTTCATGGTTGTAAAAGATATGTTGATTTATTCTCTAGAATAAGAGGCAACATATTTTACCTGTAGTAGAAAAAAGGGGGAGGCTGGGATTAGTGATATATGTATACCAGTAATTTGATTAAACAGTGAGGAGCAAAATAGGTTTTTTGTGTGCATGTAGCCAAGAAAAGACTAGAAAATTATCTTTGCCATGATCATTTATCAAAGATTTTGTACTTCCAGGAGAAAATGACACATATTTATGGCATATGAAATTTAATATAAGCATTTTTTTTTCTTAAAAAAAATTGTGAGCAAATGTCACAATTTAGTTTTTCCTAATAAAAAAGATAAAATATTTTTCAGAAAACGGCCCCTGATAAAAACATTCGAAAAAACGAATCCGTTCTGTAATTCACAAACTATGCATAAATGTGAAAATTGCTTGTTCATTTGTTTATTTCTTTTCAAAGGATTTCCTATTTTATGATTCCATCTGGGGGGTTTTCAGAGCTGTTTTGAACTTCCCTGAGCCAAATAGCTCACTTACTTTAATAAATAAGTATTTTTTCACTGATTTCCATCAGAAAACATTGTACATTGACTTCCAATTTCATTGTAAGATATGCCATAGGCATAGCTTTACATTCATATTTTACCATACTGTCTTTGTAATGATCATATTTTGTTTAGTTACCAAAGTATACATGTATATGCAAATAAATATTTACGTTGTTATTCCAAAGTAGGATATAATAATAAAAATGTTTGATAAACTTCTTTGATTCTATTATTATTTATTATATTATTAGTAGTAGTACCGTAGTAGTAGTAGTATTAGTTGAACCATGTACTTCTACATTTTGTGTTATTTTCATTTATTTACTTATTAAAGTTAGTGGTATCCATTTGCGTGTACCCGAAAGAAGTGATTGAATTAAGGTGATTTCAAGTGGATGGTTGCTGATAAACAACCCTACTGAAATTTGAGAAAGTAAAAAGTTGTGGAAAAATTCAAACCTTTAATTAAAGTCAGTTTTTAGGTTTGACAGATTGAAATCAAACTGAAGAGCGTTTCAAAGGAAAATGCTCTATCACAAACAAACAAAGTAGGAATGTCTCCAAAATACTGCTTTAAGATGCACAAGGAACAAGCACTACTTGGATTAAGGTCTCTAAGCAGTTTATTGTCAATTATGTTTATTGCACATTTAAAACCTCATTCCACTGTGAATACAATCAGTTTCTGACAAACTTTGCGTTTAATCTGCCTTTCCACAAGAGTGTAATAAATGAAGAAGAAAAAAATCTTGCCAGCATATATTCTGCATATTTGTCTGTACCACTTTGATGCTAAGTGATGTTTTCAAGTGCTATTAGGCATAGTATACAAATATTGACTTACCAGTATGTGAGACTTTGTCTCAGAGGAGCTATAGTTTTAACAGTGACCGGAAGAAAAAAAAGCGTCAATATTTTCTTGTTTATCACATTCCCCTTGTCAATTCTCAGAAAGAGATATTTTAACAAAATATTCTTGTCAAAGTGTATTTATAATGTTAAGTCAAGGTAAATTAACCAGTCAAAGAACATTGTGCTTATCTGTGTTAAAGGTATAGACCAGTTTTGGAAACGCCCCCCTCTCAGAAAATGAAATGGAAGCTCTAATACCAATCATGTGAAAGAAAATGTTTTGACTAATACGTGATGATACAAATTTTGCCGGGAAACTGCCTACTAATTGATATATTTGGTAAATTATTATATCTATCCGGACTGGATAGTTATCACGCACGTGTCGTGTAGTCCCATATACATCTTTCTCTGTACAGTGCTTGTAGCTTTACCAAGACTTGGCCGAGTTTCTTATCATTTTGATGATTCCAGAACCTTGCAGTACACACCAATACTTATATGCTAGATGATTAACCTTTCCTGACCGATTCCACAACGTTTCTTTCACAATGCAATCGCATGACCCTAACTGACCTATACCTTTAACTTCACATGCATCCATTGCGTCCTTGCATTGTACACGCAAGTAAAACTATGCCCTGTCAGTATTTGTGTGTGAAATTATGGGTAAGCTTTTTACATGTCGTTCATCTGTAAATAATCCACATGTTTATACAAGTATATCAAAAAGTATATTTTCTTTGTCTTTGTACATTTTAACTACAAACATTGTTAATCATTTTAAACTTGACATGCATAATTTGTTTAGCTAGTTTTACCAGTTATGAACGTTCGAAAAAGGATGCAATTTCATAACAGCAATTTGGGCTGAATAAAATGTGTTTGCGACTTCATAGAAAATCTGATGAAATTGTGAGAAATTCTCTTTTCATTTAAAACATGAATCAAAGTAATTTGTCCATTATTCCGTCATCTATTTCAATTTGCTTACCTTTTTTTTATTTGATACTTATCAACTTCCCATAGCAAAGTCCTGAGTGAGTTGCTACTTCGAATTGAAAGTTATCATTTCAAGTGAAAGAAAAGTATTATGTTTAAAAAAGCAGAAGAAATAGCATGACAAGTGGACAAATTATATGATTGCCTTTACATGTACATGTCTTATGAAACCTTGGAAAATGTTTCTTAAAACTCATCCTTAGCGAGCAAGCTTAAATCGTGTAAAATATTGAATTATTTACCTGCCACAAAGCATTATTAATCAATTAAAACAATACATTATGTATTGCATTTCTGCATACATGTAGATTTAGTGCAGTATACCCAGACGTTGTGTGTCCGGACAGGTTGTGTATCAGGACAGTTTATTTAAAACGGCAATTTGACAAATAATATTTCATAAATGATTTATGTTGGAAAACATTATTAAGGACAAATATCTATATGCTTACTGCTATTTGATTAATATTTTTCTGTTAAATCCAAAGGCAAAAACCGCAAAATAGACGATGTTACAGTGGCGGATCCAGGGGGCCCAGCCCCCCCCCCCCCCCCCCTGGAAATAAAATGTGTATTTTTACATTTTTTAACGTTAATTTTACCTCTTTTTGGAGATGGGCCCCTTACCCCTGATGCTCAAAGGGGGGGGGGGGGGGATCCACGCTTGAGATGTTAAGTGTCCAAACATTCAACTCTCAACAAACTCGATCAACCATGAATCAGCTAGGTATATGTTGCTCAGCTTTTAACTGCATCATTTTCCTACTTGTTTTTGTTTCTAATATTTCTATATTTCTTCTCTTTTTCTTTAAAAAAAAGTAAAATATTTAATGCTATGTGCAATTCATCCTATCTTCACATGTCAGATAACCCCCCCCCCCCCCCATGCTCTCCCCTCCCCTGCTCTCCCCTCCCTTTAGTAAATTTCTCATGCAGTCTTCAATCTATAATCTAGAGACTAGAGAATGAGATTAGGAGATGGTTGACAGTTGAAAGAGAATGAGCTAGACTAGGTTAGGGGGAGAAAGAGAAGGAGAGGAGAAAGAGTGAAGAGAAAATGAAAGAAAGAAAGAGTAGAAGGCGTCTCATAATTTTTGTCACCTTGATATCAGAAATTCTATGGAAGGTAATTCCCCCCCTCCCCCCCCCCCCCCAAAAAAAAACGATTTTCAACATGACATATTCAAGATCAAAATGCTCCAGATCTCACTCTTCTTGAGTGTCAATCATTAGTCATCTAACAAGAGACAGTGGTATAGCTTCAGCAGTGCTGACCACCTGTTTACAATACCAATGTAGGAGTATATGTCAGACGTGCTGTAGCATCACCAGGAAAAGATAGGTCATTTTCAGGTATAGGAAAGAATGCAATTCTTTTGTGAGCATGTGATGAGCAATGGGAAGTTACATACCACTGTCTCTTGAAAGCTCACTAATGATTGACAGACGATGTCACAAGATGAGCATTTTTTTAGGGTGGAACTTGTCAGGTCTGAGAAAATTATTTAACAAAAATATCAACAGGAATCAACTTATATTTGGATGTCTTCCGATCTTTAATGATACTGTACGTCAGTGCTCTCAATCAATAGGACATGACGAAAATAAATAAATTGTGATCAAGTTTCTTAAAAACTGTCCTGGCTGAACGAAGCAACGAAAACGCTGAACGAAACGCCCCAAGATCATCGATTTTGGGGAGCACGTTTTGATTCCGCAGCTATTTTTGCGACAGTAGTCATGCTTGAAGCAGCGAGAAATTTGCGCATGACAGCTTCCCATACAATCAGCTGTGTTTAATTCTTAAGTTTAGTTACGAACCACATTTCATGCTTTGTGGGTTAAATGAAGGATATTTTAGTGTCTTTTTCTTGGTTTTGCTGCTGTCCAAACTTTTTTTATAAATTTGCAAAGTACATGTGTACAGCACCAGACTTGTATGAACATATATAATCAACGGTGTCGATTTGTATCCGTGGTTGGGGGGGGGGGGGGGGAGGGGGTGATAGGTGCCAAAATATTTTCGCCAATGGATCAAAGCAACCAAGAGGTAGAAGCGTGTGGCAGGTTGCACCCCCTCCCTTCCAAGTTATTAACTCTTTCAAGTCACCCTCAATAAAGATAACATTTCAGAATGTATGATACCCATGTGAGTCCCACATCGGCTTGCTACCTAGGTTATTATCCTCTCAAGCGCGTAGCGAGGATTTTATTTTTAGGGGGCGGTAGTGAGCACGCGAAGAGCGTTCCCTAGGGGGATGCAGGGAGGGGGTTTCCCCCGTCCCGCGCGTAGAGCGGAAGCTCTGACGTTTCATTAAATTATTAAAGAAAGAAGACGATTCGTTGTACCATTTTCGACTCTTAATCCTTGTCTGAATTCAGTTCCCCCCCCCCCTTCCGGCGCGAAGCGCGAAAGCTTTGACATTTCATTAAACTATTAGGGAAAGAAGACAATTTGTTGTACCGTTCTCGACTCTTAATCCTTGTTTGAATCAAGTTCCCCTTTCCCCAGCGCGTAGCGCGGAAGCTCCGACGTTTCATTAAATTATTAAAGGAAGAAGACGATTCGTTGTACCATTTTCGACTCTTAATCCTTGTCTGAATTCAGTTTCCCCCCCCCCCCCCCGTCCCGCGCGAAGCGCGGAAGCTTTGACATTTCATTACACTATTAGAGAAAGAAGACAATTCGTTGTACCGTTCTCGAATCTTAATCCTTGTTTGAATCAAGTTCCCCTTCCTTCGCGCGTAGCGCGGAATCTCTGACGTTTCATTAAATTATTAAAGAAAGAAGACGATTCGTTGTACCATTTTCGACTCTTAATCCTTGTCAGTTTCCCCCCCTTTGACGTTTCATTAAATTGATAGACAAAGAAGACGATTCGTTGTACCGTTCTCGACTCTTAATCCTTGTCTAAATTCAGTTTCCTTTGACGTTTCTTTAAATTATTAAAGAAAGAAGACGATTCGTTGTACCGTTCGCGACTCTTAATCCTTGTCTGAATTCAGTTCCCCCCCCCCCCCTTCTCGACTCTTCATCCTTTTTCTTCCTACGTCCTCTTCCTTTCTAAATTCTCTCTCTCTCTCTCTCTCTCTTTTTTGGTCGGCGGTTTTGTTTGGGGGGCGACCGCCCCCACCGCCACCCTGGCTACGCGCCTGTATCCTCTCTGTCTCTCATTATCTCTCTCTCCCACTCTCTACTTCTTTTTTGCACTTTTGCACTTTAGCTCGTTGCTTTTTAACGCTGCGGCTTTGCATTTGGCGCACTGCATTTCTATGTTGCTGTTGATTGAATAAATTGAATACATGCATCAATTCCTGATGAAGCCGTATGAGCGAGAATTCAATTTATTCTTGTCTCATATAC